ATAGCCCCTGTCCGCGCAAGCGGGGGGGGGGGGGGGAAATGGAGGCTGCACTGTTGGCTTTGCCCTGGGGGTGGGATATTGTCAGTTACAGATAAAGTGCATCAGGTGCCTTGGAGCTAGGGTTGCCAGGTGTCCGGTATTGACCCGGACAGTGCGGTATTTTCAGCTCCTGTACAGTAAAAAAATTCAGAAAATACCACATTTAAAATGCCCGGTATTTTCTGATTTTTTCCCAGCCAAGGGGCGAAAATACCAGACTGTCCGGGTCAATACCGGACACATGGCAACCTGCACACTCAGCAATCAGGTCCATGTGGCTTCCCTAGTTCTGCAGGGGAGCTGTCTGGCCCAGAGCAGGGAGAGAGGCAAGATGGCCACCAGCTGCCGGCAGCCTGTTAGAGGCAGAGCCCAGCCTCTTCTGTTCTTAAAGAGGCCATGCTGTTTTTTTAAATTTTTTAATTTTTTTTGCTTAATAACTCTCTGGGTCCTTTTTTTTCCCCCTCAACGACTTTGGTCCTCCCCCCTTTTTCAACAAAATTTTCCCCCTTTTTTTGGAGGGGAGGGTGTTCGGTATTTATGGTTAAACCATCTGGCAATCTTACTTGGAACTTTAACTCCTCACAGCCACCGCCCGTAGGCACTGGCTGACTTCCCTGCCCCAGCTGCACTCACAGAGCCTGACTCCACCCCCATAAGTGTGGGGTGCCCCACTCGTGCACACAAGGCAGGGAGAGCTCAGCGCTGCAAGGGGGAGACAGAGGCTATATCTATATTACTGGGGGTATCATGGAAAAGCTATCTCATGTCCAAAGAAAACGTCCGCTTTTCTGCAAAACATTTCAGAAAAGCAGACATATTCTTTCACCATCCCTGTAAGCCTTGTTGTACAAGGAAGAAGGGATGTGTCGAAAGAGGAGGTTTTTCCGAAATTTGGCACCGTGTAGACGTGTCAAATTTTGGAAAAGCCTCTTCTGGAAGAAAAGCAGAAAAAGATACTCAAATTGCAGTTCACAATTGCCTTTTTCTGATTTTTCTTTGTAGCGTAGACACAGCCTGATTCAGCACTTGGGAGACACTGGAGGGACACCAGAGGGATTTTGGCAAAGGGCAGCAGCATATGGGGATGGGGGCAGCTGTATGCAGGCCTGAGGGGAGAGAATGCTCTCTGCACAGATACACATAGGCTGTGTCTAGACTGGCCAGTTTTTCTGGAAAATCAGCCGCTTTTCCGGAAAAACTTGCCAGCTGTCTACACTGGCCGCTTGAATTTCTGCAAAAGCACTGACTTCCTACTGTAAGAAATCAGTGCTTTTTGTGGAAATACTATGCTGCTCCCGTTCGGGCAAAAGTCCCTTTTGTGCAAAACTTTTGAGATTTGTTTTGCGCAAAAAGCCCCGATCATAAAAATGGCGATTGGGGCTTTTTTGAGCAAAAGCGCGTCTAGATTGGCCACAGACGCTTTTCCGCAAAAAGTGCTTTTGCGGAAAAGCGTCCGTGCCAATCTAGACGCTCTTTTCCGAAAATGCTTTTAACAGAAAACTTTTCCGTTAAAAGCATTTCTGGAAAATCCTGCCACTCTCCACATGGAATATAAGGCCAACTGCAAGAGAGACTCATATCACACAGAGACCCTAATAAGCACACGTTATAGAGAGACACTGGCGAGTGCCTCATGCTGCAGAAACCACACAGCGTGCATGCTCTTTAGCAAGAAGGGCAACCTGTGGCCCAAAGGCCACATGTGGCCCATCAGGGTTCTATGCATGGCCTGCAGGCGCGTACACAGGAATTTTGGGGGCGTGCTTTTTTTGTAAATGTGGACTGCAATGGTGCAAACGTACCCGTCCATAGTCCTCCAGGTAAGCATGCTCTAGCCGGGGAGGAGGGAAAGTCAGCCCCAGCCTTTCCCTGGACAGCCAGAACATGCTTACTTGGGGGAGCATGAGGGGTGCGTTCACACCCTTCGCACTCCCCTGCATACAGGCCTGCCTGCAAGACGTTTTGTTGCCACTGCCCACACACAGGGTTGCCAGATTCTCCTAGTTTAAATCCACCTGGTTTTTTCCTACTAGTATTACTAAAGTGACACATACATAAAACAAGGGCCTGTGACATGAGGTGTGTGCTGATTGCACACAAAACTGACTAAGATCCAGGCGCTCCCTCTGCAGCCAATCACAGAGCTGCTACAATCAGCACATCCCTACATTGCTGTTCAATCAGCACATCCCTACATTCTAGGGACACAAGCAGTGAGCAAAACTCCCCTGTCCCAGGAGATGTCTTGTTTATGACAATCTTGCAGCCCATTAAGATAAAGGAGGCCACTCATATGGCCCAGTCACTAGCCTAGGTTGCCCATGGCTGCTCTATAGATACTCAGACTATGTAGAGTCCAAGTAGGGGCACACTGAACAGACTCATACTGTATAACATGCTGTATTGAAACTCAAATGCATTGGGCCAAATTTTCATGTGAGCTATATGAATGTGTCTGCACAAGTTGAAGCCCCCAGTACATGTCCTGATGTGGCTCCAAGCCCCCTTCCATGTACAATGATGCAGCTGTGCAGACAAATGGGAGCTGCTGTGCTAAGATGTTGGGCCTATTTGCAGAGGCCAGGTTGAAACCATTACCCTCTCCTGGCTGTCTACAGAATTACACAAGGTGACGCGGAGCATGTGGGGAGTGGACCTGTGCACCTAGGGGCTGTGATGGCCAAGGTGGGGGTCTAGGCAGCAGGATGGAGAGGGCATGGCAGGGAGCTCTGGCCACACTTGGTTAGAGGTAGCCATGTTGTCTAGTGGTTAGATTTAGGGGGTAGGGATAGGCAGAGCTGCTGGTTCTATGCTGGCCGAACTGTTAGGAGAACAGCAGCAGTCTAGTTACTTGTATCTCTGTGCTTTGGCCAAGCTCAGCTGAGAACCAGGGAAAACAAAGAGAAGGCAAAGCCTTACAGCAAGCCAGAGCCACGGCACTGGAGTTACCCTCTGTGCAGCAGCCTTCTCCTTGTGCCAAATCTCATGCAACTGGGCCAGCCCCACCCAGAGTAGCCAGGATCTAGAGCTGTGCAGCCCCTGCCCTGCCCAGCCACGGCCATGGAGGCAGGGGGTCTGAGCTCCACGCACAGAGTCCCTGGTCACTGCCCTACGAGGACAGCACCTTTCCCAGGCCTCCCCGAGCCAGGAGCCAGCAATGGGAGGGCGATTCCCACCAGCTAGCTGAGTGCAAATACCTGTCTGCAAAGGGCAATACACAGAAGGCCTGCATGGTGTGGAGGGCTGGTCATATGATGTCATCCAGCAGGTTAGGGCTGGCGACCCAGTCCAAGGTCCGTGGCTCAGAGGCAGCCATGATCATACACAGGAACTGCTTGCCGGTCCGCTTGTCAATGGGGTAGATGGTGGTGGGCGTGAACCTCTTGTTGCTCTCCACGAAGTCACAGAGCTGCGCGTAGATCTTGGGGAACTCATGGCGCAGGAAGACGCCGCGGGTCCGCAGCTCCCGCTGGATGTTGATGAAGCAGACCTCCCGGGCCTTGCGCCCTTCCTCACCCTCCTGGTCCATATCTGCCGTGCCAGGCGGGGGGGTCAGGATCAAGGTCTCCATATCCCGCTCCTTCTTCAAGATCTGCTTTTCGGGGCTGGCGGAGGCTAAGGCCACCTTGGCGTATTTCCTGACTGTCGGCACCTGCACCTTGGGAGATGGCCTCACAGGGACTGCATGTCCCACAGCCACAGTTACATTCAAGAGGAAACATTCCTCAGGGTCGTACTGGCTGCCAGCGCCCACCAGCTCCCGGGCATAGTCTCCTAGGCTCTCTGCATAGCCCTCCAGCTCCCGCAGGGACAAGTAGGTGGGGGACATCAGCAGGCTCTCCAAGCCAAACTGCAGGAAGTTCTCGGCCGAGCCCGAGCTGGGGAAGCCCAGGAACAGCACCCCTCGCCCCCGGGACAGGTAGCCCACCTTGGCAATGCGCGAGAAGGCCTTGTGCACCTCGGCATCCTCTCGGCAGAACTGCAGCACATGGCGGCAGACGCTCCCGATACGCCCGTAGACGCAGTTCTCCTTGTGGGTGTCCCAGTCCTCGCGGCGGCAGCTCCGGGAGCAGTAGTAGGTGTAGCAGCTGTGGCAGGACTTGAAGTAGAGACAGGCATTGAACATGGTCTCTGTGCGCCTGCACTTGGCATTTGAACACATCATCATGTCGTCCTCGTCCGCACTCAGCTCCGGGGAGCAGTCATCCTGCTGCTTCTCAAAGCTGCTGCTGGAGACAGACATGGCGAGTGCACGGCCACCCTGCTCCTTGCACACATCTCTGTGGAAGGAACTGGGGCCTGGCTGCTCCTTGGTGGGCCGGGGCTCCCCTACCAGCAAAGGCAGTGGTTTCCTAGCATCCAGCTTCTGGGGGGGTATGGGTGCGCCATTGTCAATCAGCCGCTTGAGCTGGTCTGCCAGGCTGTGCCCATTGCTGGGGTGGTGGCTGGGCGGGGGCTTGGAGTCGATGACCAGGTCTGTGATCAGTTCGTCCAGCTGGTCCAGGCAGGGCTGGCGGGAAGAGCTGGTCTGGGTGCTCTCTTTGGCAGGGGGAGCCGAGTGGTAGTGTGTGGGGTAGGGGCGACGCCCATCCTGCCCAGCATCCAGTACATCCCAGCTGGCTGAGCGCTTCTCACTCTGGCTCAGCCCATTGGCTTTGATGTCATTATCAGTGATGGTGATTTCTGGGGTGACAAACCAGGAGCGGCCCAGAGGGCAGCGCCCACTGTCCGCATGCATCTTCTCCAGGATGGAATTCTCGGAGAGGGACAGTGCTGCGTAGCGCTTGGGGGAGCTGGACAGGTTGATCACCACGGGCTGCCGCCTGTTGTCCGGGGATAAGGCACGGTGCTGCTCCCGGGCCAGCAGGTTCTCATAGCTGCGCCCACGGAACAGGGGGTCCTCCCTGCGCGCACTGGACGTCAGGATGTTGTCCCAGGATCTGGAGTAATGCCGGGTGTCTGTGCCTAAGCGGGGCTGGTTGGCGCTGTAGCTGGCATGCCAGGAGGAAAGCAAGGCCTCCTGCCCAGAGGGGTGAGGTGCTAAGCGGGACATCTGCAAAGTCTGGTAGGGGAGTGCACTCCGGTCTGGACAGTACCAGTCGCTGAACTGTAAAGGCTGGGTGCTACGGGCATGAGGGTATGTCCGCGAAATAGCTTCTCTCTCATGATATTTGCCATAATCCTCAGTGTAGAACAACCGGGAGGAGGAGTTCAGGGCAGGATACAGCCTGGGGTCCTCTGGATAGAGGGGTTTGGTGGGGACACCTCTGGAGGCATAGATTCGAGGGTCTTCTCTATAGAAAGTGTGGGCAGGGGCTTCTTGGATAGGATAGGTCCGAGCTTCTTCCACGTAGAGAGTCTGGGGTGGGATGGTACGGACATTCCCTTTGGCAGGGTCCTCTGCATAGAAGGCCTGTGGAGGGACGTGGCACCCTGGGTATGGGCGAGTGCACGCCTCATAGCCAGAACTTTTCAGTGGGATGCTGGAGCCAAGGCACCCTGTTGGCTCCTCTGTGTAGAAGAACTGGGTGGGCACGTTGGGGGCAGAGAAGGTCACGCATCCCCTCTCAGGATAATCCCGTGGGGAGGGCATGGCCTGGTAAGCCCGAACCCGGGGGTCACCTTCATAGTACTCGTTGGGGTAGCGCAGCACCCGGTGCTCCCCGCTGTAGGAGTCGCTGGGCGTGGGAGTGCGGGACACAGACACGTGCCTGCTGCTTGGGATGGTCAGGCTCCGAACAGTGCCCGGTGGCCTCGGCCAGCTTGGCAACTCCATCCTGCTCTGGGCCTTCAAGCTGCGTGCCGTGTGCACCAGCACTGCCTCATCTGGCTTCATGTCCATCCGGCACTTGACATGAAGGCTTGTGGTCGGCCTCCCGCCTGGGGCCTCCTCTGGACAGTTGCTGCTGATGCAGAGTGGAGAGATGCGGCTGGTGCTGCTCCGCTGGGGCTGCAGCTTGATGGGGTGCACCTCATTCATCAGAGCTTTCATGGGAGTGTAGCCACTCTCCCTGCGTGGGGACATTTCTGTCCTCGCAGGATCCCTGGCGAGGCGCAGAGCCTCCCGTCCCCTCCTGGCCGATGGGGCAGGAGATGAGGATGACATCTGTATGGGAATGGGAGCGAAGGTAGATTTCACCCGAGGGGTGCTCTTGGATCTTGCTCGCCTCTTTGGCTCCGCCCGAGCCAGGGGCTCCTTGGGGACTTCCCTCCCATGAGGGTGAGGCCTGGTGTTCTGAACGTCTGACCTGGGAGGAGCCTTCCTGCCTCCAGAACCTGAGGATGGCTCGGGGGTGCCTGGGCGCCGGCAGGGGCGCTCCATAGCAGGAGCACAGGCCAGCTGCTCGTCAAGCGACTCAAGAAAGTCAAAGCTCCTACAGTGGCGCTTATTGAAGGGCTGCGGGTCACGTGGCAGAGATGCAGACATGAAGGCGTCACATTGTGGCATCAATGGCTGGCAGACGATGGAATCTGCAGATGTAGGGCACTTCACCTCCAGGTCTTGATACACCGTAGACACCAGTATGCCAGGTGGGTCGGTTCGTGTCATCTTAAACGAGCTCGTCCTTCTCCAGCTCCTCCTCAGACCATCTCAGGGGAAGCCAGCCAGCCCTGCAACACAAGAGAGAAGGGGCCTTGAGTCTCAAGCATTCTGCAGAGGCCCACTCAAGACAGGAGCTGAAAGGGGAGTATAAAGATGCAGTTTGATTGCGAGGCTCATAACATGGGAGGTTCTTCTTCCAGCACCTGGAGCCAAGGGATCTGGGGAGGGTCTCCATTTAAGAGAGCAGTTTCTAGCCCTTTGGTCTTGGGGAAACGCTGGAACTCACCACCTTGAACATGAGGCAAACACACCAAGCCAACCCTAGCTGACGTTTAGCCAAGCGGATGATTTTGGGTTCCTGACTCATGACACTACAATGCCTGGGACTGGCTGAGCGGGTAAGTCTGGCGGACAATGTGCAAAGCAGTCCTGTTGGGGGAAGAACTGATAGCCGAATGGTGACGAGGTGATGATGGGGAATTCCAAGTGGCCGTGGCCGTTCCCAGGAGGGGCGGGGATGGCAGCTCCTCTAGGAGTGCCCAGCCTGCTCCTGGTCGGGGCATGCACTGCTCAGATACAACAGTGCCAGAGACCAGGGTAAGCCATGGCCTAGGATTGGGGGGCGGGGAATCCTCTTGAGCTGAGGCTACCTCTCCATGGCAGGGAACTCCAGGTATTAGGAAGAGACAAGTGTTAGTAATGGAGCATTTTATCATTAGAATCACAGACAGATGGGTTTGCAATGACCAGGAGAACCACATGGTGATGTTGCCTGACTGGTGCTAAGGCTGCAGAGTTCTTGAGCCATCTAGACTTAAGAGCAGTGCTGGGGACCAGCCAGTGGTCATGGTACAGTGGGATAGGGAAGGACAAGAGGGAGGTCCTGGAAGCCAAATCTAGGCTGCTATGTAAGAGACTGAAATCCAGGATCTCCATGGTAGTGTTCTGAGATGCTTCCAGTCCCACGCACAGGGCCAGGTAGACAGCATGGGTCTCAATGTGTGGATGAGTTGATGATATAGGAAGAAGGATAAAATAGATTAGGAACTGGGGAAACTTTTGGGAAAGGGGGAGCCTGTACAGGAGGGATGGGCTCCACCTAAGCCAAAATGGAACCAGATTGCTGGTACTTAAAATCAAATCAAATCAATTTAAAATAAAAAAGGTCCCAGTCCTTAGTTTAAAAACTGTTCTAACGGAAAGCTGACAGGTATGGAGGAGCAGATGGATCGGACAGAGTTGAGAAACTTCATGCCCAGAGACCAGATGCAGCCCCCCAAGATTCAGGCCTCCCCGCCCCCCAGGATCAGGGAGCCTGCACTGGCACTTCAGTCCTCTCCATCCTCTGTGGATCTGGAGCACACACACTCTACTAAGCTGCCCCGCCCCAGTTCTGGTGTGTGGGGAGTTTTGTTTGGTTCTTTTTTTGCTTCTCACTTTATGTGTGTTCCCTGACTGATTTTTCTGTGGGTTTCATCAATAGGAGCTGCTAAGGAGAATCTGACTTACCTGAATGCTTTAGGCATTCAACCAATGAAATGCAGATAGGAATTTCAAACCGAGAGAGGGTTTTTTTCCCCTCTCTTCTTTTGTTGGAGATCAGAGCAGTTTTTTCCCCAGGTAAGAAGAGATTCGGGCTCTCCCAGGAATGGACTCCTTGAAATGTGTAAGTAGGGAAAAGTTTAGATAATCCATCAGGTTTTATTGCTTTCCCTGTTTAGGGGTTTGGAAATCAAGTTCGACCTGGTTAACTGTTTTTCTCTTTTGTGACTAAGGATTACAACCCAGGAATTCCCCTGAGTCTATTTCACTCCATGGCTTTTAATACCCAGTCATTTACTATGCTTGCAACAGTAGTTTTGATTGATAATAAAAGTGTTGCCCTTTTTGTGTTGATTAACCGGTATTGGTTGATTTGTGTGTCCTTAAACCTACATGCCTAGGTTATCTGGGGGAAGCAGAGCCCCATTGTTCTCTATGGATTCCCTCAGTTTGTTTTCCCAACTCCAAGCAAAACAGAGGTTAGGGTAGGAAGGAAAGCTTTGCCTGAGGGAGGAGATTCCCACATGATCTCTTCTCTGGAAGAGATTTTTTTTTTAAACTTCACTTAGGTGGTGGCAGCCACCGATTGTCTTCCTTTTAGGTCTCAAGGAAACTGAGGCTATGTCTAAACTACAAAGATTTTTTTTGAAAGAGGATATGCAAAGAGGATCTTTTGAAAATGCAAGTAGCTCGGATGTGTTTTTTTCAGAAAAAAAACTCTTTTTTGAAAAACTGTGTAAACCCCTTTTTTTAGGAAGAGTGTTTTTTTTTCCCAAAAAACCCCACATCCAGACTACTTTCATTTTTGAAAGATCCTCTTTCAAAAATGCGATTGGAAGAAATATGCAAGGAGGAATTTGCATATCCTCTTTTGAAAATGCTTTGTAGTTTAGACGTGGCCTGAGACCAGACAAGTTTGTCTCTGGGGAGTTACAGAGACAAGTTCTTACAGAGTTTATTCTGCTAGCTGGTCCACATAGCTGCACTCTAAGTGCCAGCCAGGGGAATTGAGCTGTGACAGTGGGTCAGTGGCCCCCGACCCAAAAAAAGTTCCCCATCCCTACCTTAGAGAATTTCTATTAATAGACCGTCCCTTATGTCCTAGTGAAGAGAAGAGGATGGAAGGTGATAAAATATAGGTAAGATCTGATGAGAAACAGTCAAATGAAAAAAGTTCCATCCAATCACATCATGTAAAAAACAGACAGCTAAAAAGTGTTTTAAATGCTTATTTACAAACTCTAAAAGTCTAAATAATAAGGTGGGGGAACTAGAGTGCCTCGTATTGAATGAGGATATTGATACAGTAGGTATCACAGATACTTGGGTGGAACAAGGATAATCAACGGGACACCGTAATATCAGGATACAGACTATATTGGACAGGTTGTGCTGGAGGGGGAGTGGCGCCATCTGTGAAAGAAAGTGTAGAATCAAATGAAGTAAAAATCTGAAATGAACCAAACAACCAACCATAGTATCTCTATGGATAGTAATTCTATGCTCTAATAATAAGAATATAGCAGCAGGGATATATTACTGACTACCTGACCAGAATAGTGCTAGAGACTGTGAAATGCTAAGGGAGATTACAGAGGCTATAAAGAAATGTTAAAAAACCTGCAATAATGGGGGATTCCGACGATCCCCATATTGACTGGGTATACACTACCTAAGAACAGGATGCAGAGATAAAGTTTCTTGACACCTTCAATGACTGCTTCTTGGAGAAGCTGATTCTGAAACCCACAATTTTTGATTTAGTCCTAAACGGAGTGCAAGATCTTGTCCAAAACATGAATATAGCTGGACTGATTGACTATAGTAAATACATTAAATGTAACATCTATGTGGTGGGAAAAACACCTCAGCAGCTCAACACTGTGGCATTTAATTTCAGAAAGGTGAACTACACAAAATGATGAGGTTAATTAAATAGAAATTAAAAGGTACAAGGCCAAAAATGAAATCCCTACAAGCTGCATGGAAACTTTTCAAAGACACCATGGGTGTGTCTAGACTACATGACTCCGTCGACGGAGCCATGTAAAGTAGTTTATGCGACCTAGTCAGTGAAGCGGGGATTTAAATAATCCCCACTTCATTACAATAAAAATGGCCGCTGCGCTGTGCCGACAATCAGCTGATCTGGCCCAGCACGGCAGTCTAGACACGGATCGGTCGACAAGGGAAGCCTTTGTTGACCGCTCCTGTAAACCTCGTTTCACGAGGCATAAGGGAGCAGTCGACAAAGGCTTCCCTTGTCGACCGATCCACGTCTAGACTGCCGTGCTGGGCCGGATCAGCTGATTGTCGGCACAGCGCAGCGGCCATTTTTATTGTAATGAAGTGGGGATTATTTAAATCCCCGCTTCACTGACTATGTCGCGTAAACTACTTACATGGCTCCGTCGACGGAGCCATGTAGTCTAGACACACCCCATAATAGAAGCTCAACATAAATGTATACCCCAAATTAAAAAACACAGAGAACCAAATAAGTTCCACCTTGGCTTAACAACCAAGTAAAAGTAGTAGTTAGAGAGAAAAAGACGTCAAAAAGTGGAAGTTAAAACCTAGCTAGGAAAAGCGGAAGGCGCATAAACTCTGTTAAATGAAGTGTAAAAATATAAGTTTGATGGCAAAAAAGGAATTTGAAGAACAACTAGCTAAAAACTCCAAAAGTAATAGTAAAAAATGTTTAAGGACATCAGAAGCAGGAAGCCTGCTAAAAAACTATTGGGACCATTGGACAATCAAGATGCTAAAAGTGCACTCAAAGATGCTAAGGCCATTGCAGAGAAACTAAATGGATTCTTTGCATCAGCTTTCATGGCTGAAGTTGTTAGGGAGATTCCCAAATCCTGAGCCATTCTTTTTAGGTGACAAATCTGAGGAATTGTCCCAAATTGAGGTGGTGTTATTGATAAACAACAAATTGATAAACCTAATAGTAACAAATCACCAGGACCAGATGGCACTCTCTCAAGACTTCTGAAACAACTCAAATGTGAAATCGCAGAACTATTAACTGGTTTGTAACCTATCCTTTAAATCAGCCTCTGTACCAAATGACTAGAGGAGAACTCATCTGACGCCAATTTTTAAAAAGAGCTCTAGAGGTTATCCTGGCAATTACAGGCCATTAAGTCTAACTTCAGTACTGGGCAAATTGGTTGCGACTATAATAAAGAACAGAACTGTCACACTTAAATATGTTGGGAAAGAGACAAAATGTTTTTTGTACAGGGAAATCATGTCCTGCCCTTATTTCAACAGTTAACCAGTTAAACTTAACGTTTAACCGGTTAACTAATTAAACAGGACTTTACATCTCCATTCCTCATTCTTACTGTGCTGGAGGATAGGAAGGTCTGGGGCCAGAGGGATAATGAAATCCAGCCTCCCCTCAGGTTCTGCAGCTGGAAGGTGCTGGAACAGGAAGTGAGTACAGGACAGCTGTGCTGTTCCTACCTGGTCTGCTGGCAGTGGTGTGCATTTGGATGGGCAAAGCTGGCACAAGCTGCTGTGTCAGCTCCATGCTGAGAATCTGGTCTGGGGCTAGAAGATAAAACACATCAAATTAATCCAGGAAGTTACCGCTCAGCTTCATGAAGACACGCGCCACCCTGCTGAGCCCAGCACCAGCCCTGGGGTCTCTCCTCTGTGCAGGTCCACAGCACATCCCCTCGGGGAGCTCTGCAGACAGTGATATCCTGCAGGGCTTTGCCCCTGGAGCAAAGAGAGACCCAGGAGGTCAAAGTGACATGCCAGAGTCCTGGGTCTCCCTCAAGCGGCCGAGTGTAACAGCCTGGTCACTCACTGTGGCTGTCTACACAGCAGCATTCTTTTGGAATAACTGACATTGTTCTGAACTAACATAGCCTGCATCCACGCAGCAAGCAGTTATTTCAACAATGTCAGCTGAAGGACTTCTTACTCCGCCTCCTGTAATTCTCATTGTGGGAGGCAGAAGGGAAGTCGGAGGAAGAGTGTTCTCTTTCGGACTCCCTGCTGTGTAGACAGCGCCAAAAGCTGAAAGAAGCTATTTTGACTTAAGCTACGCAATTCACATGGCTCACGTTGCAGAGCTTGTTTCAGTTTTCCCAGAGCTGCAGGGGCAGGAACAGGGCAGCCAGGCAGAGAGGCAGCAGGAGTCGGCAGTAGAGTGTAGAACTACCTGGCCCCAACTTGCTCCACTCCTCTGGCTCCCAGCTGTGTCCTAGGAGGGCAGGCTGGGGGTTGCCCACACTCGCTGGTGGCAGAAAGCGGAGCCATGCAGCTGGGAGCTGGCAGAGCAGGCTGGGGCTTGTTGCAGGGGCAGGAACAGGGCAGCCAGGCAGAGAGGCAGCAGGAGTCGGCAGTAGAGTGTAGAACTACCTGGCCCCAACTTGCTCCACTCCTCTGGCTCCCAGCTGTGTCCTAGGAGGGCAGGCTGGGGGTTGCCCACACTCGCTGGTGGCAGAAAGCGGAGCCATGCAGCTGGGAGCTGGCAGAGCAGGCTGGGGCTTGTCGTTCCGCTTTCTGGTGCAGGGGGTGAGACACCTGTTGCCAGTGCCAGGCCCCTGCTAATCCCCAGGCGACACTGCTTGGGGAGGGGTTTGGGGAAGTTGTGGAGCGGGACGAAGCAGGGGCGGGAAGAGGCAGGGTGGGAAGAGCAGGAGGGCTATCAGGAGCCCTGAAGCCACCAGGGACAACCCACAAGTGCACCAGCTGGAGGACAGGTCTGGCTGCGGGAGCCGGCAATGCTGCATACACAGCCCACAGCTGCTCAGGGCACCATGAAATCTGGGGCAATTTACGGCCCCAAATGTTGTGGTACCTTAAGCAGCTGCATATTAGTAGGGATGGCACTGCCCCTGGGGCACTGCCTTTCCCTTGCCAGCTGGCCTGGAATCACCTGCAGTCTCCCATGCAAGTGCTGAGATGGTGGAGCCACGCAGTCAGCCGCTACTAGACCTTCCTGCAAGGCACCAGAGAAAGAGCACAGAGCCCCTCCCCCCAGCGTTGTGCCACCAGCCTGTGGATCGCCCTGCCTATTCAGAGCGGCCCTCCCCCACCCAGCAGCACCTCTGCCGAGAGACACTGAAGCCCACAGGCCCAGGGGCTGCCAGAGTGAGACTGAAACCTGCTGCCAGGAGGCCAGTGAGCAGCGCAGCCTGGCTGGAACCCGGGCTGCTCATGGTGCTGGCACCCCTCTGGAGCTGACAGTTGCCATGGTTTTGCTGTGCAGTCGTGGGGGCTGGAGGAGCAGTGTGTGCGGGGGAGGCACAGGAGGAGGCTGGGGCACTGCGAGGTGATGTGGGGGGAGGCCCTGTGTTCACTGAGCAATGGGGACAGCAAAGGCAGGACCCCAGGCCTGCCCCCCACACAAGCAGCAGGACTGGGAGCGGTGCTATCTCTGGCCATGGTGTGGGGCGTAGGGTGGGCAGAGGCTGGCCAGCCTCTCTCTCCTCTGCCCACGCAGGCAGTGGACACTGGCAGGGGCCAGTTCTGGGGCCCACCCCCAAGCCTGCCAGGCACCAGGGGAAGAATCGATAAACTCTGCGAGAGGCCAGCCCACTGTGGTGCCAGGCCCCATCGGCCTGGATGCGCGTGTGGGAGGAGAGGCCACATCCCTGGGAGGGACGAGGCTCCCGATGCCCTCGGGGACATTCTCTGCTGAGGCCGTGAGCTCGCGTGGCCCTGAGTCCGGCGGGCAAAGGCTCGGCTGCAGTTACCACAGGCCCATTTCCCAGCCGGTGCCACTTGGGGGCAAAGGCAAAGGGAGCCCAGATGCCAGCTGGGGCATCCTGAACCCACCTCCTCACAGCTTGTCACAAAGGAGCTGGCACATCACTAGCCCCAGTCTGCAGATGGGGGGAGGAGGCGCCCTGTGCTCACCCCGGC